ATGTTTTTTTTTTTTTTTTTTTTTTTACAAGTTAGACACTTTTTTAGTTAAAACGATAGAGTTTGGGCCAAATTGGAAACAACTGCTTGCCTTAAATTCTGTGAACACGAAACTGGGGTCTTGGTACTTAAAACTTTCTTTTTTGTGTGTGTGTTAAGCATTTAAAAAAGATTTTAAATAGTTCCAACTCACATCTGTATACATATGGGAAATGCTGTATTCCCCTCCCCTTCACTTCAAAGCACTGGCCGGCTTGAGCGTCCCCCAAGCACCAAAAGGAGCAGCAGGTTCATTCCCGTCGCGGCCCAGGCCCCAGCTCCGTCCCCAGCAGGGGGCGTGCAGGAGGCAGCCGAAGGGTGTTTCTCTTCATCTCTCTAATCAATAAATACATAAAGTAATAATAATAAAAATAAAAGCACTGAGGGTGAGGCCCTAGCCCAGTAGCCCAGTTGGTTAGAGTGTCCTCCCGATCGCCAAGATTGCGGGTTGGATCCCCAGCAGGACCCGTACCAGAATCAACCAATAAATGCATTAAAAAAGTGGAGCAACAACTCATGTCTCTCTCTCTCAAAATCAATCAACAAAGTATTTTAGAAAATAATAAAAGCACTGCCCAAGCCCGTTTGGCTCAGCGGTTAGAGCGTCAGCCTGCAGACTGAAGGGTCCCGGCTCCAGCCCCAGCCCAGGTCAGGGAGCTTTCCGAGGCAACCAATTGATGTTGCTCTCACACAGAGGTTTCTCTCTCTCTCTACCTCCCTTCTACTCTCTCTGAAAAGCAATGTAAACAATATCCTCCAGGATTTAAAAAATAGTAAAAGCGCTAAAGGGGGAAAATATGCAAAATATCAATAATCTCTCAGACAATATATGCAGTAGTTGGACAGTTAAAGGTTGTAGGGGAAGAAGTATCTTTTTTTCTTTCTACCCTTCTAGGTTTTCTGCTGGGGCTCTGTAACAAAAGATTAACAAGGGAAAAACTAACAAGTTTGTTAATATGTAGATCATATATACAAGAGGGAAACTCAGAGATAAGTAACTCACAAAGTTGGCTAGAGCTTGGGCTTATAAAGCATCTTAACAAAGGAACAATAAATTTTTACGGAAGTGACAAAAAAGAGAAGGACCTTAAGTATTTAGAGGCAACAAATTATGGAAAGGCAAATATATGAGAAACAGATGGTAGGTAAATACCAAGTTAATCAAGTTTGTTATATAGGTTCCTCCTGTGCAGTCCCCAAGCTGGTAAAGGGTCTAAAATTGTCGCCAATGATCAACTTTTGTCCTTCCTGGTAGAGATGCAAGGAGGAAAATCTTTGAAAATGTATGTCATCTTTTAAGGAAATAGAGGAATTTTAAAGAGCTTTTCTTGTTATCTGCTTCTTTGCAATTGCCTTCACCTCAAAATAATCCTTATGCCAAAGCGGCGAATTTTGGGGTTGCAAATTCTACTACCCTTCACTGCAATGACCAGAAGGAAAAATGACCTCTACAAACACGTTGGGATCAAATTGGGTAATTTCATGAAAATGTTTTACCAACTTTGAGAACTCAGCCACATAACATTATTTTGCATTGCGTTGATTTTAAACTACTTGCAGGCAGGCCCATAAGAGAATAAATCTGGATATAAGCAATGTATGCAAGTTGGAAATAACGTGAAAAATATTCAAAGTCCAGCGTGTACGCGTGTTATGACTGTAGCTGTGAAACTGGATCCCCATCATATGCAGGCAGGCTGGAGAAACACAAACTGCGAGTTATTTTATTAGAGACGTGGGATTTGAGGTGCAATGCTTCTTATATTGTGTTTTTTAAAACGCTGATTTAAAAATAATTCTTTTAAGGCCACCCTCCCTTTTTTCAGCCTTTCTCGTAAACTTGAATCAAAAGAACTCTGAAAGGAAGCGTAAAGATAGAAGCTTCACGACAGGGGGCGCCAGACTCGCGCCCGTCCTTACTGCGGTACTGAGCCCGGCAGTCCCAGCTCGGAGGGAAGCCACCACTAATGAGAAATAAAAAGTCTGCACGGCGCTGCCTACCACGGAAGAACTTCCAACAATTCTTATAAAAACTCAGCGTATTACATTACACGGCAGAAGACGGGAGGTTACACAGGAGTGTAATAAAACTCGCTGAAGTGAGTACAGGCCAGGCACACAANTATGGGTAGATAATTTCATCTTGATTTCAAAGTACGAAGAGATTCAAGATTGCCAAACTTGGTAAGAGCCAAGAGGAATTTCCACCTACACCACTAGGGGGCAAACGAGTACCTCACAGACTCACCTGCCTCTTTACTCTCTTTGGTTCCCTTTTTTTTTTTTTTTTTTTTTTAAACCCACCAGGTTTTTACAGAAAGCGTTCCTTCTGGATCAACTCGCCGATTTCCATTCCTTCCAGCAAAGCACGGAGGCACCTCTCGCGAGAACATCGTACTCTCGCTTCGCTAGCACTGGGAGCCGAGGCGAGGCCGAGGATTGGCTAATCAGGAGGAGGGGCCTCTCCCCCCCGCCCCCGTTGCCGGGATACGCGGAGGCGCGTGGCCTCCAGCGGCTTTAGGCCTGAGGGCCCCGGGAAGCTGCGCGAGAGTGAGCGGTGGGTGGTCGCGAGCGGGCGGACGCGTCCGCCGAGCCGGCTGTGGGCTCCGCTGCGGTGGCGTCGCCGAGCGTGGCGACTTCTCTCCTTCCGCGCCGGCAGAGGTGAGAAACCCTGGGTCCCATCTCTCCCTCCCTGCCCCGGGAGCTTGTTCTCTTCCCTTGGAGATGCTGCTGCGCTCCAAACAACACAAACCCAAACTCTCTGGTTTTTAGCTGTTCTCCTCAGGCCTGGGGCCAGGCCGGGACCGTCCACCTCCGGCCCCGCCACGCGTGCACCGAGGCCTCTAACAGCCCTGCCGGGGCGAGACCGAAGGGAAGCGTTCAGGAGCCTCAAAGAAAAAAGGCCTGGGGGCTGAGAGAGCGTACCCCAGATAATAGCAGATTGCTGCCTGTCGTGTATAGCAGAAGGGACTTAGCAACTTAACACTAATTAGTATATGTTAAAATGGCTGGTTTAGGGAAGATAACGATAGTAGTAATAATTAGGAGCCAGGTGTTTTGTATTATACTACCTGTAATCGTAACAGCTCTGCAAGATGGAGGCTGTGGCCACACGTCTGTTTCACAGCTGAGGAAACCCCGCGGGGGGATGATAAGGGGGGTAACCGTCAGCGCTCAAGTTTGTATCCCTAATACTTTCCAGAACCGAGGCCAGGCTGCTCCGAGGACGTGTGATGAACCCCGGAGTTAGTGGCTCGTGGTTCCTCCTCCCGCCCTGTGATACTGCCCCCAGCACTGATCTCATGCTAGGCTTTCACCGTGACTGGAAAGCAGAGGCAAAGAAAATGAGGTGGACTTTCGATGTGTTTTACGCTTTCTTAAAGCTATCAGGAAAGCTGGAGTGACGTTGACTAATTCTGCGGGAAACAAAGATTGTGTTAGCTTTCTTTGGGATAAACCGTTTTGATCGTAGACCTCATCTGCCTTTCAAAAAGTGATTTCGTGAGCCCGGCCGGTGTGGCTCAGGGGTTGAGCATCTACCCGTGACCCAAGAACCAGGAGGTCACCTTTGGCTGGGGTCAGGGCGCATGCCCGGGTTGCAGCTGGGTCCCCAGCAGGGGGCGAGCGGGAGGCAGCCGGTCAGTGGCTGATCCTTGATGTTTCTCCCTCTCCCTCTCCCTTCTTCTCTCTGAAATCAATAAAAGCATTTGTAAAAAAGACTTTTAAAGAAGTTATTTCATGAAACTCCCTTTTCCGTTTGAAAGAATAATAATAGTAAGAACTGTTACTTTGTCCATAGAGTTCAAAACGTCAAGGAAATAGAAGAACCACGGAGCTAGTTGGAATGGGAAGATTTTCAGTTTGGTGTGAACCTACTCAGCGTGAAGCGATAATGGGATATCTGAGTAGAAATCTCCAATAAATTTGAACATTTAGAATTGATGCCCAGTTTAAAGGACATACCTGGAGACATTGATTTACGAGTCATCAACATAGTTGGAGTTATAAGGAAAAGGGTGAAAGATTATAGAATAAAAGCAATCCAGGAAGTAGGCATGGCCTATGGAAACTGAGAAACCTCGTAAAGTTTTGTAATTGTCAGTGCCTTCACGTGGGAGGAAGTTCAGAAGATACAAAGGAGAGCACAAAGTTTTTGCCTGGCACTGAGATACTAGGGATCTAAAGATAAATGAGATCCAGGATTTTTCTTCAAGGGAGAGAAAATACTTGAGCAGATCATTTCAGTTGGTGTGATAGATACTGGGATAGGGATATGCCCAGGATGCATAGTAGCATATAGGACAGGCCTATAAATTCAAATTGAAGAAGGGTTTCTAGGGAAGATAATAGGCAAGATTGTTAGACAAGTGGACCGGTAAGAATGCTAGTATAATAATCCACCGGAGTCCATCAGGCCCTGAACAATACTAGAGAAACAGAGAGGAAGGTACATGTTTAAACATTTATGAATAAAACCAGTAGGACTGTGTGATTAGCTTTGGGAAATGAGGGAGAGGAAGAAATCAAGGACTAAGTTTCTGACTGTGTGACTAGGAGGTGCTACCAAGAGGAAGAGCTGAAAAGGGAAAGGACTGAAAAAGGGCAGCCAGAAGAGGGGAGTGTCATGGAAATGGTTTCATGTAGGAGTGCACACCAGTTACAGATGACATTTACATCCCTAGCTGCATTGGCAGGGTGCATTTGAAAGGAATAGTATAAATTGAGATGGTGGAAATCGTCAAGGTACAGAGTAGTGGATATAAGCTATTCTTTAGAGTTTAGCTGCATAAGAACAGGACATATGGGACAGAGTTAAAAGTGGTTTCAGGCTCAAGAAATTAATTTTTAAGGTTAGGAGAGAACTGAACATAACAGACTGAAAGAATGAGGAAAGTTTAAAGATACAGGCAGGAGTGGGATAATTCCAAAGGAGATTGAGGTAGGAGGGAAGGCGGCAAGGAGAGGGAGTCTAATGTCCCAAAGAAGATGGGATCAAGAAGGTAAATCAGAAGAGAAATTGGTGAGAATGGATGGCTGTTGAGATCAGAGGGCAGGATTGATATAGGTAGGTTTATGTGCTTCAAACATGATGGATTTTAAATCCTAATTTTGTCAGATGAGTAGGAAATTGAGTCATCTGCTGAGGGGGGCAGAAAAAGAGTGTAGCTAGAAAAGTGGTTAAGGATTGGAATCATTTAGGAGAGAAGTCACCTATCAAGGATAAATAAAATTTTCTGAGATGAGGGTCCAGCTAAGTTTTGGTGACTATGACTTTGCAGTACTCCAGTCTGTATAGTTATGATTTCTACCAGCAATGTTCAGTAGTCCAGGTTGGATGTAGAGAAGAGTTTCTGATTTTGCCAGATGGGTTGAAGAAAGTTCAAGGATACAAATTAATTGATGGTGCTTGTGAGACAGTAGTTTAATGTAGAGAAGGGAAGGAGTCCTTGAAACTGCCCTTGCCATGGTCATTAATGGCTTGTTCAGTGGGGATTTCAATGGACATTTCAGTGTTCATCTTTTTTAATTCCCTGCAGTAAATGGCATGACTGGCCATTCCTCTTTTCTCTTGGGATCTCTGACATATACCCCTAGTTTTTCTATTTGCTTTCTTGGCTTTCATTTTTAGTCTCCTGTGTTATCTCTCTGATCTGAATGCAATGACATTCTTTAGGCCAGAGTCTTGAGCACTCTCTTTCTCCATATTCTCTCTCTTGATCAGTATCTTTTTTTTTTTTTTTAATATGTCTTTATTGATTCCAAAGACAGGAAGGGAGAGGGAGAGAGAGAGATAGAAACATCAATGATGAGAGATTCATTGATAGGCTGCCCCCTGCACGGCCCGAACTTGGGATGGAGCCCACAACCCAGGCATGTGCCTGAGCAGGAATTGAACTTTGATCTCCTAGATCCTAGGCCAATGCTCAACCGCGGAGCCACGCCCAGCTGGGCTAGATCAGTATCTTTAAAATTCTTTTGAACATGACCTATAACAGGACATACATTTTACATTACAGACCAGTACAAATATATGTGTAAATATATATAAATATAACTGAAACAAAAATTTAATGAAACAATCCCCTTCCTATATGTGCAGTGAACTATTCTTTCTTTACAGTCAACTCTTATATTTTCTATTTTATTTCATGTTTAAAACATATTGGTCATTACCTGCCAAATTGTTCTTACAACAACCACTCACTAATAGGTCATGACTCATAATTTGAAAAATACTATTCTAAATTATCAGCCAAAACTTTAAATAATACTCTGACGAGTAAAGGAAGGGGCTGATAAACTAGGAGAGAATAAGTGAATTAAGGAAATGGTTTAAAGAGAGGTGTGGTGGGAATAAAGATGAGAAAAGAGTAGAAGAGAAAATTAAAGTCAGCGAATAAAGTATTTCACTTAAAATATTTGAGATGAAGTAAGTCCAGATGATTACAAGCTCCAGGTCTAGCCATGGCTATCTGAAATGGAGTTGAGATGGTTACCAACATTTAGGTCAGGGAACTGTGAAAGTAGAATTTAGATATTGAATCCAGTATCCATATGAAAGTCAACCAGGATGTTTGTAGGACTGGAATAGAGAGGCTAAACTGGGTATAAAGACCTTAGTGAAGATGAGGTAGAGATTAGGAGGTACCTAGATAAAAGCAACCAGGAAAGATCTAAGGCAACAGAGTTGTATTCCCTGGTCCTCAGAAGAAGAGAATTCTATTTATTTTTTTAACAACTTTGAAGAATAATGTTTTTGTTGTTGTTAATCCTCACCCGAGGATATTTCTTCCATTGATTTTTAGAAATAGTGGGAGTGAGGGGGAGAGAGGAGGAAGGAGAGAGAGACAAACATTGATGTGAGAGAGAAACATAGATTGGGTGCCTCCCACACACGCCCCAACTGGAACTGGGGATCAAACCTGCAACCCTGGTGCATGCCCTTGATCAGGAATAGAACCCACGATCCTTTTGGTGTGCAGGCCGATGTTCTAATCACTGAGCAACACCAGCCAGGGCAGAAGAATAATGTTTTGAAAGTGACATTGGAAAGTAAGGAGAGTGCCACGCGCTTTTTCTTTGCTTTGGAATTGTGGCACTGGAAGCTAAAACAGCCTTTGTTACCAAAAGTGTTTTGTGGGAAAGCCAGTATTCTGTTAAAGGGAAGAGTAAATGAAAGTACTTCATAACAGGATTCAGAATATAAGGGAGTTAATCATGGACCAGAAAGCACAGAAAATACCGGAAGATCAGAAACAAGTTGAATATGTCAGGAGAGAGAAAACTTATGGGATGAGCATAGGAGAGATAACTAGATGGGCTTGTATTTTGATAAGATAATAGGGAAATGAGGAAGGCATGTTGTAGTAAATGATTTCATGGTTCTAAATGGAACATTAATATCAAATTTGAACGAAATTAAATCGGGCTTAACATTGTAGTAATATCTGGAATGGCAATTTACAAGAAAACTCATTGTGGATGATTTTTTAACGACTTGGAAAAATAATGTTCCTTTAAACATAAAAGGAAGGGTACAATGTTTAAAGATAGAGTATATGGGTCACTAGTGTCTAGTTATAGAAGGAGTCAAAGGGGAATTGAACTATTCCTTGTTTCCAAACAGTGGTTAAAGTGAACAGACAATGGCCAGTAATCACAAACCTCCAGCAGCTCGCCCTGCTTCACGAGGTGGAATTGGGTTGACAGGAAGGCCTCCTTCTGGAATACGACCTCCATCAGGAAGTATTCGAGTGGCAACTGGAGTAAGTTTAAAACAAATTTATTGAATTCTTGTGCATATGTCTTGGTAGAAGTTGGAAAGCCTGTCTATAATAATAAATTCGTCTTTGTTCTTTATTTTATGAACATGCTATATGTTTGGTGGGTTTTTTTTAACTTTTTAAAAAATATATATATTTTTAAATTGATTTTAGAGAGAAAAGGAGAGGGAAAGAGAGATAGAAACATCAGCGATGAGAGAGAATCATCCGTTGGCTGCCTCCTGCACATCCCCTACTGGGGGTCGAGCCCACAACCCGTGCATGTTCCCTGACTGGGAATTGAACCCTGATCTCCTGGTTCATGGGTTGATGCTCCACCTCTGAACCACACTGCCAGGCATGTTTGGTTTTTGAAAACACTGAGAAGTATAAATGTGGGACAATGTCTGAAAGACACTTTAGAGAGAAGATACGTGCTCATGCTGATATTCAGATGTATTTTAAACCTACAAGTATTCAAGTGGTATAGTGTACTGGTGTCAAAATCAAATGAAGTGGATAGACCAGAAACAGAATCAGACATATGTAAGAATTTAATTAATGATTAAGGTTGCATTTCAAATTAGTTGAAAACGCATGGACTACTCAGTAGGGCATTATTTGCTTTTAAAAAATTGATCCCTCCCTCACTCAGAAATCTAGATATTTTAGAAACTTTATATTTAAAAAAGGGAAACCATAAATGTACTAGGAGAAAATAAGGCAAGTATTTCATATAAACTTGGTGTGGGCTAGGGACTTCATAAAATGACACAAACACCAAATACTTAACAGGAGGGTATTTTTATATTTTAATTTACAAAATTGAAAACACTATTAAAAAGTTAAAAGAAAAATGGCAAGCTGGTAAAGAAACATTTGCAGTCTATATGTCATACATAGAGTTCAGAATTTTTAAGAGCTCTTTTTATATTAAGGCTATAAACCAATCTAAATTCCATGAGATTTCTTCTGCAGGCAGTGTGTGTGTGTGTGTGTGTGTGTGTGTGTGTCGGGGGGGATGTCATTATAAAATTATTCTAAAATTTATCTAAAACAATAAAAAAGCAAAAATAAAGTACAATAGTCTAATATAAAAATATGTTATAAATAATAAGTAAAACAATGTTCCAGTTGCCACGGCAGTCTAAAAACGAAACTCGAATAAATATTAAGAGCTTATATGTAAGACAGAGTGTGCTATACATCAGTGAATCAATAAAAGAAAAATACCACAGTAAAACAAAATGTATGAACTTTACAAACTGGTAATTCTAAAAAGAATAATATCCTATAAAGATAATTGTTACATTTTCATTATAATTATAATAGTGAAATTGGAATACAACCTAAATGGCTTTACAACAGATGAATCATAAATAAATTATACATCTATCCCTATCATAGACTATTAGGTAGCCATTAACATTTTTTTAAAAGAATATTTTAGGAAATAATATATATAATACATTATTAAGTGGAGAAAACCATTATGGTGTCAATTTAATATGAAACATACATTTATATGTACAAAGAAGTAAGTGAATACACCAAAATATTCATAGTAATTTCTCTGATGCTTACAACAAATGGTTTTGACCACACCTCATAAGGTGCATATGAAGTACTCAAACTCGAACTATGGAGATAATGTTGGGTCCTATGCTTAATTCATAACAAGAACAGCATTTTGGGGAGGGAATAATTTTGTTAAAGTGAGTTTTTTTTACATTTTTGAGATTTTTCTAGAGTTTCAGGTAATATTATCAACAGCATCATCAATTTATACTGAAATGATTTTTCTAAAGTCGTATGTAGTACTGAGCTAGGGTATCTTTTTCTATTATTCTAGTAAGAATTTATGCTTGTTAATTAAATATTTATAAAAGGAATCTGACATTTATTGACCACCTACTACTTGCCAGGCGTTTTACCTGTTTAATGTTTGCAGTTTTTAAAAGAGTAATGCTCACTGTAAAACAGAAACAAAGAAGTGTCAGTTTCCTTCTACCCCAGGTATAAAATCATTGTTAACAATGTGGCATGTATCCTTCCAGACTTTTTCTATCTATTTACAAACACTGACACATATGCTTATATAATTGATGGTTTTAGCATTTTCAAAAATGAAGATAATAATATATATATTCTTGTCCTTTACTTTCAGTAACATATCATAAGTGTATCGGTAATATACCATAAATATATTTCCATGTGAATGCATGTATATCTATTTCATTCTTTTTAATGTGTGTAGTTTTAATTTATACTTTCTTTATACTTTCATCTAGATAATTTTTTAAAAGTTGCATAGTTATTTGAGTAGCTGTCATGATTCTGTTTGCATAGCTCTGAAGAGGAAATTATTTAGAAGAATTACCCGGGGAGAGATTCCGCATTCTCTCACAAGGATCATTCAGAATAACCCTAAATTCATTTCAATTGAATTTGTAGCTGACAGTCTTCCTGTGTCCAGTATATTTCCTCTGGAATGTGTCACTGTTGCTGGCCCCCTGTATTCAAAATAATTACCAAGTAATTCTCAGAATCACTTAAGAACTATCTTAGCTGATAGGATTAGAGGCTACCAGCTAATAATTAAAAACAATCAAGATGAATGACAATGGTTGTATCCAACCCCGGTATAAAATTTCTACTGCATATTTAATTTACTGTACTAATTTACTATTTGGAAGTGAGGCAGAAAAAGGAAGAGTGGAAAGGGAAGATAAAAGAAGGATCACTTGGAACAGTTTCAGGTTATCTTTTATACCTTCCCATGCTTGTACATATTATATGAACTGACAAGAAGGGAGTCTTGCCCTTTCCTCAGGTGTATAATGTCATATTGGATTTTGTAGACCTGAAGTAATAATATGAATGCTTGCTGAATGATGTAAGCCCTTTAATACCTACATGGCTATCTTGTGATGGAATTATATAATTTTTTTTCAGAGTGAAAAATTATTTTCTGATTTTAAAGGTAATAATTACTTACCATGATAATGCTGAAAACACCAAATTATATAAATGACAAAATAAAAATGAATTATAATATCACTATATAGAGATAACCATTTTTACTATTTTTTATATAATCTTCCAGACTTTTTGTTTTACAAAAATGAAATTATAAATACTGTTTTGTAAACTATTTTGTTATATACTACAACTTATTTAACCATGTTCTATGGTATATGAGGAAAAATATGTGGACATTTAACTCCTTTCCAGTTTTGAAGTATTATGAATTCTACACATAAAATTTAAAGAATTTTATTTAATACTATTTGATATTTCAAACACTAAAAAATATAGGAATATTTTACAAATTATGTTGAATTAAAATTTTTAAATATTCTCTTTGCAATCTTAACAGTAGTAGAGTTACAGTGTTTTTCTAGTTTATTAAAACTGAAATCTTGTTTGTTACTTAGATGCCACCTGGAACAGCAAGACCAGGCTCTCGTGGTGGTCTCATAGGGACAGGAGGAGTTCTATCTTCTCAAATTAAAGTTGCCGATCGTCCTGTAACACAACAAGGTTTGAGTGGAATGAAAACAGGGATTAAAGGTATCTATTTTAAAAAGATGAGTATGTTTTGTGTAAGAAATATTACAGTACCATATTACTAAATCAGAATTACAGAGTGAAAGACGCTGTTTTACTCAGTTCTTATTCCTTGAGTCAACATCATTTTGAGGGTTAAATAAGAGAATGAATGTGAAAATACATTATAAGCTAGAGAGTTTTATACATATATGAGATATTTTGATCTTCACTTTTCTGAACATAGAAATTTGCTACAAATTCAAGAAATTTGAAATAATTTGAAAAAAAAAAACCTCAAGAATGAAAATTAGATTTCTATACTCTGGAAATATTCTGAAATACTTTTTTATTGTTTCTATATCAAAATTACACTGTTAAGATATTTGTGTAGAATATCTTAAGTGAGTCAAGAAGTGTTACTTTTATAATAATTAATACCGTATTATGTAAGAAAATGAGGCTAACACAGATTTCTACCATATTTTTCATGGTTCTCTGAATGTGTTTAGAAAAGCGTAACAATTCACTGTATGTTGTGATTCAAAGAATCGGTCTGTATATATATAAATCAAAGCATGAACTCTTTAATGTGTTTTATTTCTATATTTGTGACAAATGACTTATCAGGAATGAAGACATTTTACTAGTACAAAATTACCTTTAAAATATCATACTACCTTTTATAATATACTATGTCATGTCATGCCTTTCAGGAGACTTAATTTTCTTAATTGTATCATAATACACTTAGCTCACTCAATATTAAAAATCAATTAGATTATTTAGAAATGCTTGGTTAATTATCAATACTGTGAAAAAATGAGTCAAAATTATATAGTTGTTTAGTCTTTAAAACTCTATTCATGGAAATATTTATGTGTTTAATATTACTTATTAAACATTAAAGGTAGAAACATGCTGAACAGAACCAATATCATTTAGTCAGTTTCTACCAATATACTTCAAAGCCTCATGTGAGTTTTGATTGTTACCACTATCTTTTGTTCTTACCTGTTCTAATGCCCCATTTCCCATTCTAATAAGACATTCTTTCCCTCTCCTCAGCTTAGACCTCCCTAGCCTTACCTCTCACACCTTGCAGGGTACTTCATCTGTCTCAAGATTTGGGACATTTAACCTAGAAGTACTTTCTTAGTCCTACTGAAATATAAGATCATGTTTATAAAAAAGTCCCTGAGACAAGTTATGAAAAATCATAATCTCTTACTTGCACTGAGAAATTCAGTCTAAAATCTGCACTATTATGATAGCCAATAACTATATATAATTTGCTATTTAAATACAAATTAATAAATAAAACTTCAGTTTCCCGATAGCACCAGCCACATTTCAAGTCTCAGTACGCCCATATAATTCATTTATTGGACAGTACTGATATAGAATACTTGCATTGTTGCAGAAAATTCTCTTGGATAGCCCTGTTCTAGACTCCCATAGCTCCCTTTTCCAAATTCAGTCAACCTGACCTGTAGAATCTGTGTCTTAATAGTCCCACCTCTAATCCAGTCTTTGTGGTCTTAATTCAAGCTTCTATTATATCATGATGCTAAGATATTAGTTCTCTTTTCCATTTCAGTGGTTCTTCTTGATTATCAGATTTACCAGGGCATTCATAAGGACTGTCAGAGAATTGTATAGTGTAATTCTGTTTGTGCTTTTGATTTGCTATTTTGGCGGCACTTCCAAACTGAACACTAATACTTAAAAAAAATTTTTTTTAGGTCCCCAGAGGCAAATTTTAGACAAATCTTATTATCTTGGGCTTCTTCGGTACGTTACATAAACATGTTTTTTTCTATCCATTATCATGAAGTTTTAACTGTAGTACTTATTAAGATAATTAGATAGATGTTGATTTATAAGAATTATTTTGTATTCTAACATAGTTTTTGGTTAATTTGGCTGTACTACAAAATACACATATAATGCAATTAGACTGAGATTTAATTAAATTAATTTTTTTAGGTCTCTAGACTTTCAGGTTATTGCNATTTTGTAAAGCTAGTTTAATGGTGACGAAGTCTTAGTTTTTGCTTGTCTAAGAAACTCTTCATCTCTCCTTCAATTCTGAATGCTAGCCTTGCTGGGTAAAGTATTCAGCACTCTAAGGATGATATGCCACCCCCTTCTGGCCTGTAAAGTTGCTGAAGAGAAAGCAACTGATAGCCTTAAAGGGTTTTCTTTGTATCTAACTCATTTTTCTCTTGCAACCTTCAAGATTGTGTTTTTAACTTTTGTCATTTTAAGTACAATATGTCTCGGTGTGGGTCTCTTGAGTTCATCTTGTTTGGAACTTTCTGTGCTTTCTATATCTAGATGACCATTTTCCTTTCCCAGGTTAGGAAAGTTTTCAGCATTCTTTCCTTTTTTTTTTCTTTTCTGAAAAATACTTTTAAAAAAAATTACCATTACTGTTGAAACTATTACAGAAGTTCCCCTTTTCCCCCCATTGATACCCTCCACCTTGCATCCACCCCACCCCCAGGCCTTCCCCATACCAATGTCTGTGTTCATAGGTTATGTATATAAGTATATAAGTTCTTTGATTAATCTCTCCCCACCCACTGCCCCACCCCTGCCTTCCCTCTGAGGCTTTAAACTATATATTTGCATGTAAGCTGTATATTTCAAGTTCACTTTTAAAAACCCTAATGATAAAAATAACCTTTTATGCTTCTTTTACTAATTGTTCTGAAATACTATTGAAATGTCACCAATTACATCTAACAAGAAAGGGAATATGTGAATATTTATTTATGAACATTAATTAATGCACAGTTTTACCTAAGTATATAGCATGTCCCCAGAAAATGTGTGCATACTTTGAATGATTATAATGTCAGTGTCTATTAACATACAGTTCATTTTCAAAATTTAAAAGAATCTACAGAAATGAATAATTTTTTGTCAACACCTGTTTTCAAACTGATGACCGTTCTGGTCCAGGCACTGCTGGTAACATGAAGCAATGGAATCGCAAACATCAAGAGTCATTTCGTTAGGTATTTGTGTGCCCTCAGTTTGTCAACTTTTGCTGGTTTTGTACCATAAACTTTATCTTTTATATATCCCCATAAAAAAGTTTTGTGGTTAAATCTTCTTTGTCCAAGGCTTAGTCTGGCTTCACCCATTATTTCAAATCAGACCTGAAAAGGAGTGAAAATTGAGTTATCAGCTGTTAAAGTATGTATACATTTTTGGGGGGATACCTGTGTTCCAAAACAATGTGTACACACTTTGAATAATTATAAAGGCAGGGTTTGTACTTCAACTGCTTTTTCAAACTTCCAGTAGCATTTTAAGATGAATTTCCTCTGTTTAAAGCTTAGTCTGGCTGAAAAGCAAGAAACACCAATTGATTTAAAGTGTGTATACATGTTTTGGGGACACCCTGTATGCTTGGTGAATTGTTACAGATGTGGCCTGATTTTAATGAATTTATAAGCTTTGTTATACAGTTCTAAATTAAGAACTTATTTCTTATTTTCTATCTACCTTTTTCTCTGCTCCTATGTTCTACAGTCTTATCTCCATTTTCCCATTTTACTTTATTTTCTTCTTGGCTCTTCATCTATACTTTCTTTCTCTCTTACTTCCACTTCACCGAATCCTTGCTTCTGTTGTGTCCTAAAAGTTTATTTTTCTTTCTTAGTCCTTGATTCTTTTGTTTCTCAATTACCTGAATTTTTTTGATTCTCAAACTTCTAGAGGTAAATAAAGAGAACTGTAGGTTTTCCCCATCTATCCTTGAAGCTAACACCAATAAGAAAGAGAGTGAGGCCATCGTTGTATAGCATCCCTTGATGTCCAGCCACTTTTTCATCAAAAGAAGGAAACAAAAGGAAGCTATTTGTCATCATTACATTGTATCTCTTCTCCAGGACTTGTGATTCTGCATCAAAGAGTAGTAATTCTAGCTGTTTTTGTAATTGTTTGACTCTAGAGCAGTGTTCAACTGGTGGTGATTTTGTCCCCCAGGGAACATTTGGCAATTTTTAGACACATTTTTGGTTGTCATAACTGGGTTTCGGAGAATATGCTACTGGCATCCAAACTAGGGATGCCATTAAACATCCTACAGTGCACAGGATAGTCCCCCCACCCCCTACCAAGGTATTATTCAGTGACCTAAGATGTCAGTAGTGCCACTCTTGAGACACCCTGTTCTAGAGGGTAGCAGGAGCTGTGAGAGTGACAATTAGGCATCTACTTCTGTCTATAGATTGTACCAGTTTGACCAGGTTTCCATTCTTAGGATTAGAGAGTCTATGTCAGCTTTTTATTAGCTGGGATATACCTCATTTTTAATCAAATAAGCCGCTTTTAAGTGAAATTTCACAAAACCATTTATATTATTACACATTTATGAAAAGTATTTTTTGTTTGACTAGAAAGTCTTCTTGATTAGAAGTATTGCTGACTTATTTCTTTTCATTTAGAAGTAAAATAAATGAACTTACAACAGAAATTAATAAACTTCAAAAAGAAATAGAAATGTACAATCAAGAGAATTCAGTTTATTTGTCATATGAAAAGAGGTGAGTAATTTTGCAGCTAAAATATGCAAGATCTTTTTTATTAGTAACATTTAATGTGATATATTTCAGGAGTTTAATACTGAATTTGTTCATAATATTTATTTGTTTATCTATGTATTTATGGTTGTATTTATTTTATGCTTGCAGAGCTGAGAATTTAGCTGTTGAAATTAAAGACTTTCAAGGACAACTAGCAGACTACAACATGGTATTTGCTTTTTCATAGAGATTTTCTTTGAATATTTTCATTGCTTTTTACCACTTTAAAAAATGTGTTATTTTAAATATCAAATAATACATGAATACATGCATATTGTAAAAGATTGAAACTATAGAAAGTGTAGAGATTAAAGTGTTGTGGCCCTGGCCTGGTAGCTCATTTGGTTAGAGTGTCGTCCTGAAACGCCAAGGTTGCGGATTCAATCTTCAGTCAGGGCACATACAAGAAGCAACCAATGAATGCACCAATAAATTGAACAACAAATTGGTCTCTCTCTCTTTTTCTCCCTCTGTCCCTTTCTCTGTCTCTCTAAAAATCAATCAATAAATAAAAATAATAAATCATTTTACATTTTTACATTTATAAAATGACTTTTATCCATCTGCCCTGGGGGAGGGAGAGAGGAAAGAAAAGGGCTGGGGGCTAGACAGAGAGAGAGAGAGAGATCTTCTCCAAACTTTTGTCTTTCCTGGACCCTTTTTTATAAGCTCAGACATCTCCTAACAGCAGGCAAAGCTCTTCAAGGTAAAATCTGCAGGAACAGTAGTAGTTCATTACTGCTCACTTTTTTATATTCCTAAAAATGGAGTTTATTGCTTGGCCAAATGCACAGTATATGCTTACTTGGGTAGCTCAATATTTGTTTTTATCTTAGAAAATAAAATACCTGGAAGTTTTAATACTTTAAATGACTATTATTTGTAAGATTGAATACCTATATTATGGATTATAGAGAAAATTTATACACTAATAGAATGTGTTGTGTTTTTTTTGTATTTTTATTTTTAGTTGGTAGATAAACTTAATACCAATACTGAAATGGAAGAAGTAATGAATGATTACAACATGGTAAGAAAATTTCTAAGCAGTAGATCAATATAGATCATATCCTTCAAAACAAAGCATTTATAGCTAGAAATAGTTTGATGAAACCTTATGGATCTTAGAGATAGGTATTACTCTGATCCTAAATACCACTATTATAATTGAGTTTCCATAGTTACACTTTTTAAATTTTTTCCTGTTCATTGACTCTCCCAAGTGGATGATACCTTAGTGTCTTTCAAAAGGCTATATTTTAATGGGTCCTACACTTAGCACTAGTTAGGGATTCCCATCTACATTTCCTTATATATAGATTAGTTTGCAATCTGGTTTAACAGTTGCACAAATGGAGCTGAGTACTCAATGGACATATTATGGCACCTATAAAGAGTTTTATAAGAAAGGGAGAAAAATAACTATCATATGATGCCAGACATAATACTACTTTTGATTGGTAAATGAGATGTTAGCAGCTAGCTTATTTTGATTCTAAACACTTGGATGCAAACATACAACTTATAACTTACATAGCTTATCATTAATTTACACAGTAAGTTCTGTGAAACCACAGAATTCATAAAATGACTCTTTTCTAAATTTTGGTTCTAAAAGCATGATAATTTAGTGAAATTATTCTTGGCTTTTAGAACACAAGAGAATTCCCAACTTGAAAACTGTTTTTAATACCAAATGTAAAAAGTAAAACTTTCTTTATGTGTTTTGTTAGTTATCTGAGATAGGTGCAAATTCTAGGCTGAATATGCACAGGTAGAGCCAACTAGGAGTGCTCAAGTAAAATCCTGGATTATTTAAGAATAAAATTTGTACTGGGGAGGAGGAAGGAACGGGGTAGAACGGGTCATTGGGGAGAAAAAGGGACATCTGTATTATTTTAAACAATAATAAAATTTTTTAAAAAAAGTTTAAAAGACAAAAAAAAAAAAAAGAATAAAATTTGTGCTGGGTCTAAATTTAACATATTACTAATTAACTATTGGACACCCAATAAATTCTTGAAATTTTAATTCCATAAATTAAGTTTACATTGGATTATTTGACAAAATGAATACTTTTGATGTGAGATTACAATGCCTGTGAAAAGACTTTTATTTTAATCTGGTATGGTGATTTGTTCATTGAAACAAAAACTACATATTTTTTAAGCTTTACATTTGGCATTAGGATTATTAAAATAATCTCTGAGTTCATAATCATAATAACCTTTAAAGAAATTGTTTGGTTTAAATGGCAATTTCTTACCCCTCACTTGTGTTAACTCTTTATTTAGCTTAAAGCTCAAAATGATCGAGAAACACAAAGTATGGATATCATATTTACAGAAAGACAAGCGTAAGTACAATCTATGTAGAAATACATTTATAAGTGAGCTGTATTAGGTAGTTTAACTTCTGAGTCATGCTTTTCCTTACAAATTTTTTTGTTTTTCTCTGTTGAATTCTTTAATTTTAAAAAGTTGAATATTTGTAATACAAATTATTGTTATCTTTATTTACTATTAAGTTCCCAAATTCTGTACAAATAAAAGTACTATATAGATTAGATAGATATAATTTCTGCTTCTAGGAGTTTAAAAATCTAAGGTGGATCAGAACATCTTCATCTCTACAATTGTAATTTTAACTTGGGCTTTTTAACTAATTTGAATTATGAGATTTAAACCCCAGTCTATTGAAAGGCAGATTATTTATAGTATTTCATTGTCTCATACATTATCCAATTAATTGATGATAGTTATATTAGTAATCTATATCATAGGCTTAGATTATATGTGCATCTTTATGTATAACCGGTTAAAGATCAAATACCAAGATAACTGTGGCAGTGACAATAATGCCTACAAAATAAAATAATAAGTAGATGTCCATTTGGGCTGCTGTAACAAAACATCATGGACTGGGTATCTTATAAACAACAGGAGTTTATTGTTCACAGTTCTGGAGGCTGGGAAGTCCAAGATCAACGCAGCAGTATGGTCCCTTTCTGGTGAAGGCCCTCTTCCTGGGCATAACCTGGTGTCTCCTTGCTGTGTCCTCCCATTGGTGGGAGGGTCTAGGGAACTCTGTGGGATCTCTTTTATAAGGCCACTAATCTCATTCATGAGGGCTCTATCCTTATGACCTAATCATCTCCCAAAGGCTCCACCTACTAATATCTTTACTTTTGGGATTAGGATTTTTACATGAATTTTAGAGGGATGTGAATATTCAGACAATAGCAATGGTTAAAGTAATTGTCTTCATCTGCTTTTTTTACCTTAATTAAATATTGTCTAAGGCAGTACTTAGGAAGATTAGCTATTTTTTACACACATATACCACATACATTTTGTCCCAAAAATATATCAATAATAATCTCTTTGAGAGCAAGGATAATAATTAACCAAAATTAACAAAATTCTGTAACACCAAATATACTGTCATGTTACCTCTGTGTGTACAGTAAATATTTGATGAAGACTAGGATATTAAAATATAATAAAACATTTGAAAAATAAATTCTTGTGTTGATCAAAAACAAAGAAATCTCTTTTCCCCCATCTATTATTTGATGGGGCTATAAAGTGCTGTCTTAAAAATTATATGTGCTGGAAGTCTCTTCCCTTTTACAAAGAAAATTCCATATTCATGGTGACCAAGTTCTTACATGGGAACTTTCCTTTTTGTTGTTGTTCTAGTTTTAAACTATTTACTGCAAGTATTTATCATTTACTATATGTAAAATACTCTTATAGGTACCTAAAGAATAAGAAATAATAATCTATAGCCCATTAAAGACCTTACAGCATTTACAGTATTTAGGTCCTAAATTATTTCCTAATTTATCTACAAAGTTATATAATACCCAGGTCAGATTTATAAATATTAAATGTACATGTTTCATAGATATTTCATCCTAAATGATGGATTACAAGTTTGAGAATGTCATAGATTTTTATTTCTATTTGGTTCATTTAGTTGAAGAAATAGTTCTTAAAATATGGTAGTTTGTCCTGAAAATGTCAGCAGTTTCAAAACTTCATATCTGTAGTTTGTAACTGAGGCTGAGTGAAATAGGTTCTCCTGACCCTTTTAAAAAGAAATTTAAATTAAGAACAAAAGTCATTTTTATGAAGTTTACTTTTATATGCCGCAGGAGGATAGATTTGTTTTATGTGTTAAGCAGATAACCAAAATCTCAATAACACAAAGATCTACCTTGATACTCCTCATTCCAAGGGAGCAGGAAATGCCATACCTTTTGAAGGCAGGTGTAAAGAACTTCTGTTTTCATTCTCTTTAGTCCTCCTATTTAGTATGGTATGACCATCTGGCTTATTCCTGAACATCTATTTATAGTAAGTTGGTCATTACACATAGCCTTGATAGATTACTACAATTCTTAGACACCTGGCTTTAATTTAGTTTCACATAGCTGCATGAACTAAAGATTCTCTTCAATTTCTGATGTATATACTTTTCTAGTTTGGTATTAGTCAAAATCAGTTATATTTTAAAACATGTAATTATAATTTTAAGCCCGTTTATTTTTGTTTAGTCAGATATTTATTGACTACCCAATATTCATTTATAAGAGGTTCTTGAATATAAGAGATTAATGTAGTCTTTGCTGATTCATAATTATATTTTGTTTTATTTTATTCCTCAAATATTAATATTTGCCTCTTAAATTATGAAATGATATTTTGGTAAAATGATAGATTACTTAGAAAAAAATGCCTCATGTTTCTATTATCTGACTTATAATTGTGATTGAAAACAATGAATAATTGATAATATCTATTAGGAAATACGTGAAAAGCATTTATATTCTTTATTGAATATTGAAAGCATTTCAATAAACAAGCAAATATGCATGATAAACGAGTTCATTTTTCTATTTCACAGGGTATATCATCTTAAACAGTTTTTATTTTACTTATTGATATCGAACTGAGTTTATATATCAGTATAACCTTTAAAATGACTTTTCTGCAGAATGTAACATACATCTAGTCTCTTTTTTCTAAGAAAGTACCAGGTAGATACACATTTAAAAAACTGTATTATAGAGAAATTTGAACAAAAATAAAATAATGTACTATAGTCCTGTGTGTCCGTGTCCCAGCTCCATCAGTTCATAACCAACCCTGCTCCATCTACTCCTTTAGCCACTGTTCCCTTTTCTGTATTATGAAGAAAATCTAAAACATCATTTCACCTATGAATATATTTCAGTATTTTAGAGCTAGTTCCTGTAAAAGATACAGATAAATACATTTAACCTTCCCAGTATGATAGGTTTTGTTAGTTTTTAATGCCACCGTTTGCATTAAGTTAATAAAATTATGATTACAGCCAATTGGTCATAAGGAATTGGCAAATAATTCACTTTTAGACTCTTCCTATAATAGTCTCAAGGCCAGTGTTTTTCAAACTATGTTCTTTGGACCCTTGTTGTGCTATGAGCTCTTAGTGGGCACACCTCAAAGAAAGGTTGGAAAATTCTTGATACTTTGCTTTTGAAGAGCAGAGAGCAGTTTAGCTTAGTGAATTTTCAGATGATTCCTATACTAAAGAATCTTGTTTCACTTTGTTCAAACCTAGTATTTCCTGCAGTAATTCTATAATGATTTGACCATGTACCTTTTTCGCCCTTGTAAATACTTCTGAATGTCTCTCTGGAAATTAATGTTCTAGAAAACAATTTGGGAAACATTCCTCTGTGTCTTGGATGCCAAACAGCTGTTCATGGATCAACTGAAGATTTCTCAGCCCCAGCACAGACTCATTTGAATAAAAATCTCCCAAAGAGAGAGAGAAATATATATATTTTTAAATAAGATCTATAGATAATTATGATACCCTTCATTATGGTGACAATCTTTCTTTATAACCCAAATCAGTAGTAACTTATTAGGGATTGTGCCTGGACATTGTGCTGTGCTTTAAATTGCTGCTAAACTTTTTAGGAAATTTACTGTGCTAATTCAGGAAGCATTTATAAAGTTTTCCAATTCCATGAATTCATTCTATGAGCATAAAAAAGTCAATCCAAGTGTATTGTCAGTTTAATCTATCTCTGTTCCTTACTGTGACTCATGATATAAATCCAAAACCTTTATTTCTCTACTGATTCCAATCAGTAAAACTTTAATATAATTTATGTGTATTATGTCAAATATCTGAACTAATATGAGAATCAGTTCATTTTCATTAATAATTTACTTTATGCTTTTTTTTATTATTAGTATATATGGTCTCTTGAATATTGCTGAGAATAATAATGCTAGTATTATAACTGTTAGCTACCAAGGAGTGTCAGTTACTGTAGTTGGACTAACTTTTTCAATACCAATGAGAAAAGCATAATTTTATGATATTTATGTGTGTTGCAATTAATATGAAGGTCTACTAACTATAGTTTGGTATGTCACATATGAAAATCTCCATGTCTAAACTGTGAGTGTGATAACATTTTTTAAATAATCAAACTTTGAAAGCGGTTAATTATCTTCACATAATTCATGCATATCTATGTATTTATCTTCAATAAACCCATCATCATCTATTACAAATGAATGTAATTGTTCAAATATTTCTGTAGTATCTTCAGAGTTTGTATCTGGTATCTGTGAAAGAGAACTTGAATTTTTGGTAAATCCATCTTCATAGGGTTCTGCTTCATGCTCTTCTAGGCGATGATGATTGTAACTAAGCAGAAAATTATACCATATTGGGCATTTGACAGCAATAAAAATGAGGAGTGAAGTCATCAGTACAGTCACTACAACACCAACAAGAAAAGCCCAGCTTTTTCCAACAGGTCCATGTTCTTAAATTGGATACAGAGAGAGGGAGAGAGGGAGATATTTTGTTAAATTGACAACAAAAATTACATATCTTAATAACTCCCAAATAGTGATATTAGAAGTGAATGTACATTATAATTTTCTTTAAGCAAAAGTTAATGAAACTACAGTATAAAAGACATTTCATAGAGTGGTGAAAGAATATCTTTTTTTCTAAATAACTCCTATCTTTGCAGGGATTGTTTATCCATTCACCTAGGAACATTATTGATTTATACCTTTTAAGAATGGTGTCTTGACTAGTTAAAATTAAGGCTAAGAGAAGTTAAATAATTTGCCTAGTGGCATTTGTATGGTAACTAGCAAAGCCCAGTTTGAAAACCCAATATTTTGTAAACCTTTCCTTGAGATGAGGAATTGTACTTTTACATTTTCTAGAGACTTAAAATGCAGAAAAACAATGAGAAGTACTTTAGTTTATTTATGCTATCTTCAGCAATATTAATATTGAATACCAGTACATTACCTGAATTTCTTGTTAAGTTGTTCAAAGAGCTATTAAATGTTGAATTGCTAATTGACTGAAAATTCATATGAAGTTCTTCAGTTATAAGTGAAGGAAATTTTGAGTAGCATTCAGCCTTATAAGGTACTGTTTTGATGCTGTAGCATTTCAGGCTATCTGGGTAGCTGCACATGGTGATGTTCTCATTTTCTAGTAAATCAGAAAGAATAAATTCCAGTTTATTATGGAAAATAAAATTATTATGGTTAACAACATTTTATAATTATTTTAGTCCAGAATTTTTTGACATGTCATTATTAGTTACTATAAGAAGGAAACTTATATTGCCTAACAACATAAGATAAAGGTGCACATTCCTGTTTATAAAGTTATTTTATAAATGTAGTTTAAGTGAAGTATCTATATTCTGTTTAATCTGTATTAGTAAAGATGTTATGATTAAGACTGTGGTGAAAATCTTGATCTTTTCTTTAAAAATGAAATGAGAGACTTTTCTGGGATGAAACAACCAAAAATCGATCACATTTTGGTTTTGATTAAATAATGTATAGCTTACCTAGTGTTACATTTGATGTGTTTAACCAATTCTGCAAATTCAGTAGACTACAAGAGCAGTTCCATGGATTTCCATTTAAAATGATTAATTCCAGACGAAACAGTTGTGGTACATCAAAATGACTTATCAAATTGCCTTGCAGATTCAGAAGTTTCAGGTTTTTAAGAGGCACAAATATATCAGGATTCAGTTGTAATATTTTGTTCTGACAGAGATATAACTGTTCTAGTTTATTTAAGCCTGTAAACGTACCCTGTTGAATTATGTGGATAGAGTTTCTACAAATATTTAAAATTTTTAGATTGGAGAGGTTACCAAAACTATTATTATGTAAGATAATGACACTATTTTCAATCAAATAGAGCTCAGTGAGTAAACAGTACATCTGTAGAACACTTGTGTCTGTAATATTCAGAGTAATTTGGTTATAACTGAGATCAAGTATAGTAACCTCTTTATTGATATCCGCTGGAATCAAAGCATAATTCTTTTTAGTGAAATTATATTTGACTTCCTAAAAAAAGAAAAAAGTTAGAAATGCATTAACAGAAAAACATTAACAGATTTTTCCAAATTTCATATCCCGGCAATTAAACATTGGAAGGAAATAGTTTAGGAAAAAACCTACTGTCCAATCACTTGGTATTATAGTTTGAAAAAATAAAAACAAATGCTTTTCTTTATTAGGATGAAATACTGAAGATTAAGGGAATTCTGGTACTTATAATTAATTGAGCAAGGAGATTCTAGTTTGTCATACAGGTATCTTATAACTGTTGTTATATAATCATTACAGAAAGAAAGACTATTGGTATATTCCCATTTGTATATATGGAAATACATGGTGAATAATAATTCAGTTAACATTAGTATTTCAATGTGCAGGATTGACATTTCAAATGAGGAAATTATTTTAAAATATGTCATTTCAAAAAATCTGGTATTACAATTTTATTTTTTAATATTTTTCAATTATAGTTGATATACAATATTATATTAGTTTTAGGTGTACAACTTGGTGATTAGAAATTTATGTAACTTATGAAGTGATACCCTAAGTCTAGTACCTATCTGACACCATATATAGTTTAAAATATGTAATTTTTAAAAATCAGCAGAGCTACCGACACTATACCTAGAACTATTAATTAAGAAATAATACTTAATATATAACTTTAGAGGCTTAGTAGCTCAAAGTCTGGTGTTTTAAAAGAAAATATTTATCTTATAATAGAAATTGAACCATTTTTTAATTTAAAGAGCCAGACAACATGAAGAAGTGCTTTCCTTGTGTGGATATAGATCCAAAGAAATAGTTCTTACTTTGACTGTTCTTGCGATTGAAATGTCCCCCCAATAGTAATAATGCAACAGCAATTTTTCTCATAAATGTAATTTAAAATTTCCTACATTTTAAGTGTGGTTTTTATGTCTTAAAACTAATCTCTGATTTTATAATGAGAATTCACAGATTTCTTCTTTTTTTTCTCCCTTCTGAAATTTATCTTTATTGTTGAAAGTATTACAGATGTCCCCCTACACACCCCTCCATTGATCCCCTCCATCCTGCATCAGCTTTAATCAATCAACTCTTAAAGATTAAAAAATGAAGACTGCTTTTGTCAAATTAGAATCTGGCTCAGAGATCACAGATTTTGAATATACACAGCTAACTAAAAAGTTATTTTTGATAGCTTGATTTGGATTTTTTCCCCCCTGCTTTTATTGCTTTGGGATATTCAAAGTGTACCTTTGAAAATATTTTCACTATCTTGATTGTAAAAACTTACTGTTTTAGAAGTCTGGCTTTCATCTGATAATAATAGCATGAAGAGGGGCCAAAACAAGATTGGTATGCATGTGGTTTCCATATTGCAGGCCTGATAGAAAAGAGAGCATTTTCATGTCAATAGGAAACTAGAACTTTAGAGATTATGGAGGACATTTTGATTTCCTTTTTTCCTCCTTTTAAATCTATTTTTTTCTTAAAATATATAAAATGTGAAACAATTAAATGCCCCTTCACAATCCCTATACTCTAATCTTAACAAACTAGAAAGATTCTATGGAGAATGAAAAATAGTACTTTTTAGTGTCTCATTAGTTCCTAGATCTATTGAAAATAAAGTCCAGAAGAATATATATTTATGTATATGTGTTTAAATATATATATGTTTTTTCATCACCATTTATCTTCCCTATACCTTCTTTCACCTCCACACCCCCTTCCCATAATCACCACACTATTGTCCATGTCAATGAGTAGTATGTTCTTATAGTGCTACTTCTTGTTGTTTTAATTTAGGTGTTCTCTGTTAGTATTATCTATTTACCTACAAGTGTGAGAAATAAGAGTCTTCAGCTCTCTTTCAAACACTCCGTACCTTCATCTCTGACACAACAAATATATACTTCCTGTCTCTTCATTCTTCAAACATAGTTATGTGTAATTTGGGTTAGATGAGTGTTCATTGTATCACAAATGTATAAACGCTGTCAATGACTGAGCCATGCAACAGGATTGCTTTTCTATTCCTGCTCACAAGTTTTCGCTAAATTAAATGTACTGGAGTATTTATGTGCTTAGTTTTCTTTTTTCCTTTTTTTAAATGAATTTATACCCAAACCATTCCTTAACAAATCACTCAATAGTTTATGCATTTTAGATATTTAGTCTGTTTCATTTGCTTAAAAAAGTCTCCCAGAGCCTGTTGCCATGCTATAACCTAGCGGAACTGATGAGCACACCCTCTGCACAGCTCTTGACTTCCCACTCTCCCTCCACTCTTATCACAGATTCCCCTTATTTCTGGATTCCTGTGTTCTAGAATGCCCTTTCTTGGATTACTGCCTTTTTTTTTTTTTTTAATGGAGTTTCCTGCAATATCTTCCTAATAAGGTCTATGGGTGGGAAATTATTTTAGACCTTGAAAGATAATTTGGCTAGAAGTAAAATTATAAATAGGAAATAATTTTCTCTCAAAATGTTGATGGCATTGCCCCATTGTCGTTGGGTTTCTAGTACTACTGTTAAGAGCTGTGAGGCTATGCCATTCTAATTCTTTATCTTTTTATGAAACTTGCCTCTTCTTAACCCTCAAAGCTTTTAAAATCAATATTCTGAAATTTCATGAACCTTCCTAAGAGTCTGTTTTCATTAATGAAACTGGGTACTTACTTGGTGGGTGCTTTCAATCTGGAAACTATGTCCCACGGTTCTGGGAAATTTTTCGAATTATTTCATTGATAACATTGATAATTTTCTTCTCCATTTTTTTTTTTTTTTTTTTTTTTTTTACTCTTC